GGCTGAAGCGGCTCTCCCAGACCCTGCAGTGCAGCGGGCGCGGCGTCTGCAAGATGTGGGAAGCCGAGGAGCGGTCGTGCGTCTCTCGCAACCCCTCCTGCTGCCCTCCGCCTCGCTGGTATGGGGCCTGGTGCGTTTTACCTTCTTCTATCGGCGGCGAGCGAGGGGGGAAGTGAAAAGGGGCGGGCCTTCTCAGAAGGCTCGGAAGTCCCGCGGCGTTCTGAGAAGTTTTTGTTCTAAGCCTTCCCCGAAGACGCAAACATCAGTTAGCGTTGACTCCAAATAGATAGGAGGACAGGAGGAGGACGAGAGGAGGACGGGAGAAGGACGAACGGAGGACGGGAGCAGGACGGCAGGAGGACGGGAGGAGCAACATCAAGCAATCGGAAGCAAGCAAGCGCAAGCGAGCAATAACAAGCAAGCAAGAGCCAGCGATCAAGTGAAAGCAAGCAAGGGCAAGCAAGAGCAAGCAAGCGAAAGCACGCACGCAAGAGCAAGCAAGCGAGTGCAAGGAAAGCACGAACAAGCAAGCAAGCACGCAAGCGCAAGGACTCTCCATTGGACATAGCTGGGGGGGGGCCATTGGAAATAAGGGGGGTGCCATTGGAAAAAGGGGGGGAAGGGGGGTGCCATTGGAAATAAGGGGGGGTGCCATTGGAAAAGGGGGGGGGCATTGGAAACAGGGGGGTCCTAAAGACCAATTGCTTATGATGAGCTAGGACTCCTATAGGGCAAGCCTATTTTGAGAAAAACTTCTCAGAAGGCGCGAGGGATTCTGAGAAGCCCCGCCGCCTTCTGAGAAGGCCTTCTCCTTCTCATTTCCACCCCTCGCTCGCCGCTGATTAAAGTGGCCTCCGCACGCATGAGTTTTGCACTCGTCCGTCATCTTCTTTCCCCTCCCTCCCCCCTCTCTTTTGGCCCCTTGCATGTCTCGCATTGTTTGGGCCTCAGGCGATGCTTCTCGGGGCTCGTCTTCCGTTTCTGCCCTGCCTCCTCGTCGCTTTACTGCTTGATTGTGGATGCTGGGCACGGGCCCTTGGTCTACGCAACTCGGCGGCTGCGGTACTTTGCTCCATCTCACGCTGTGGTGCAGCTTCGCTGTGGTGAGATTTCAGCGCTTGACGATGAGGTCGTCGTTTGTTGTGAAATTTGGCCCAGGGAACATAACTGTTCCTATTTGGAGAGCGCGCTCATTCCTTGCATGATCTCGGCAGGGCTCGATCACGAGGAAGCGAAAGACACATGCACTAGGCGGTAAATTTTCGTTGTTGCAGCTTGCACCTCCGTGCTTCCATAGTCCAGGCCGTAAGCGGGAGCAGGGGCCGGCCAGCCGTGCAGAACACGGTGGGGGCGTTGGCTAAGAAATGTGCTCGGGAGGCTTCGGACCCTGGAGGGTTCTTTATCTGATGAGGGCGGCGGTGATACTGGCGTTTTCGAAAAAAAACGCCCAAGTACAACGCCTAGAAGATGGCGCAAGAGCGCCCCCCGCGCCCCCAATTTCAATGTTCATTTGAGGGAGCACGCCGCGGTTTGCAAATGTGGGCGTTTTTTTGAAACGACTCGCACTCCACCGCGTCGACCGCCCCGAACTTTGGAATTGAGGCCGTGGGGTTGGACCCGCTTCAACGCGCATTCGAGATGGGCGTTTTTTTCGAAAACCACGGCATTCATGGCCAATCCACGATTGGCTTTCCGCTGGCTTCCAGACCCTGGATTCCTTATGTATCGAAGGTTTCCTTATCCAATGCCGCCGCCGTACAGAATGAGTGCGCAGGTTTATGGAGCGCGTCGAAGCTCCCAGGGCGTGGCAGGGGCGTGCCACCTTGCTGGACATCGCAGAGGGCTGCGTAGGGGGCGGGTGCCCCGTCCGCTTCAGGCTCGCAGGGCGTGACAGGCGTGGCACCCTCCCGACACCAAAGGGGTAAGCAGAGGTGGCTCCTCCTCCTACTCCTCCTTCTGCTCCTCCTCCTCCTCGTCCTCCTCCTCCACCTCCTCCTTCTCTTTCTCTTCCTCTTCCTCTTCCTCCTCCTCCTCCTCCTCCTCCTCCTCCTCCTCCTCCTCCTCCTCCTCCAGCCGCTCGGCAACTACGAGTGCACCCGCAGCCCCGACTGCCTGCGCCCCTTGGCCATGAAGAACAGCGACATCAAGATCATCGCTGCCGCCGCCAACCGCGTCTTGCACTCGGTCGCCTCAGGCACTGAAGAAGAGCAACAGGGCTTCGTCAATGGCCGCCAGTTCCTCAACAACATAGTCAAGGTCGACACCGTCGCGCGCATGACCAGCATTGACGACGACGCCGACAAGGCGATGCCCTGCTTCGCCAGCATGGACACTGCAGCAGCGCTCCCCAGTCTTACTCGTGATTGGCTTTGGGAAACGCTTCGACGCTAGGGCATCCACGACACATTCCTCCAGCTCCTGCAGTGCTGCTACCACTCGCCGCTGGCGTTTATTGAGCTTGGTGGCACTCGCCGTCCTATTCTTCTGGCTGAGTCTGGGGTGGCCCAAGGCTGTCCACTGAGCGGCACAGTTTGGGCCCTCACTTTCGACCCCATTATCAAGGGCATCAAGGGGGAGCTCTCTGCGCTCGGGCGCGGCCTCCTCAGTGCCTGAGCGGACGACCTCGGCATCGTCCTTGCCGTCCTTCGCGATCTTCGTGCTCTTCGCCCTCACCTCCGTGCAGCACACCTACACGCTGGACTGCGACTTCAAGCCAAGAAGTGCGTTCTCGTTCACACCTGGTCTCTGCCCACGCCCGAGATCATCGACACCATGCGCAACATCCTTGCCGACATCTACGAGCCGTGGAAAGACTTCACAATCAGCAATGAGGCGCGGTACCTTGGCGTCTACATCGGGCCTGGCGCATTTATAGACCGTCAATGGGTTGGCCCCGCCACCAAATTGTGGGAAAGACTCCAGATCCTCGGTGATTCCCACGCCCCCATCCAGCAAAACATCAACATATACAACGCCGCCGCCGTGACGTGTCTGTCGTACGTGGGCCAGCTCTTTCCGCCCTCCCCCTTCTTCTTGGCCAAGGAGATACATGGCTTGCACAAGCTGATCCGAGCGGCACCTTCGAGCTTCACGAAGATGGACATCTTGTCGTTCTCCCAGTGGGTTTCCACCTCGATGCCGCAGGGCCTCGAAACATATCTTGCTGCTACTATGTGGCGCGCTGCCACCTTCACCGTCACTGGTTGGCAGTCCTTACTACGTGGACATCATGAACTCGCCGAAGAACGTCCCCCGATTTGCCAGGTGATTAATGGCCAATGGTCAGCTGACTGTTGGACTGACAAGACCTTGATTGCCCAACGTTTCGACGCCGTCTCCATCTACGATATGTTCCCGACCGGCAGAGGCTCGATCTTCAAGACCATCGCCCGCTCGGCTGGATCGACGTCAATCGCCGCATCCACACGCAGTCGTGCCCACAAGCTTGCCGCATTTGCTGGACATCGAGCGATTGCTGCTGCCAGTCGTGACAGGGCTGGCCGGCACCATGCCAGGCACCGTGGCAGGGTGCAAGAGTTTGACCGTACCTCGACACAGGCTGCTCCCAGCACCTTGCCTCAATAAGTTTTCCTCCGTGAGCTCCAGCGCCTACTGTACTACGATGTCTTCCACAAGACGGTACTGCGTCTGCCCACGGGTGGCGGCGGTCCCTCCGATGGTGCTGAGGGTCAGGGTGCATTCTCAAGTACATCCTGTGACGCCTATGTGACTGCGACTCCAGGTGCATCTCAACCGCGAGTTGGTGCCGCCTCCCACGACTCCATGCAGTATTTGCACGAACGTGCTGAAGCTTGGGCCGAGCGCTGGGTCCCCAGCGTGTTCTTCGGCAACGACATCGGCAACCATAAGGACTGGATGGGCTGGTGCGTCCCCCGTGTGACCGCCGTGCTGCAGCGGCCGCCGTTTGATGCGAACTTCGCCATCGACGACGCCTTCGGTTCTGATACGGCCCGCCGTGACAGGGCGGTTGAGATCTGTACGATGGCATGGCAGCGCAGTGACCGTCCCCGCTCTCGGCGCTTGGAGGTCTACAGTGCCGAGCAACAGTCGACCATCGTCCAGCGTGAACTTGCCGAGGAAGCTGCTGAACATCGTGCCCGCCGCCGCTGGATTGAGCATGAGACCCGCAACAATCCGCGCCTGGCTCCTGCCGGCGACCACACGACATCGGCTACATCTACCACGACCAGAGCGAGCTGGCGCCAGATTGACATCCTCGAGAACAGCGACGCCTCCTCACGTGACGGACTTTTTGGGAGGACTTTCATCCCCCACTCCCTCGTCACCGAGTGGCGCGGGCTGAAGAAGCTACTTGCGAACTCGCCCCCCTCGCTCTTCTGGCCCACGGTCAAGACGATGGCGGGGGCCTGGACTACTACATACTGCATGCACGTGAACCCGCACAAGAAGCCGTGCCTGTTCGGGTGCGACTCATGCGACGACTCCAGGAACGTGGACGACATCAGCCACTACGTGACCTGCCCACACATGTGGGCAATCGTTGCCAGGCCGCGCGGCCAACTCTCAGCGGACTTCCTTGCTCGCATTAGCCTGGCGAGTCCTGCGACTGACGACGACCATCCACGTCATGTCATCACACGCCTGGCAGTGGCGTACCGCGCGTCCAACATCCTGCGCACCAAGACCGACCTCCAAACGGCCGCAGCCTCGCCGCACAAGAACTCCATGTACGAGAACCACATGAACGCGGCTGCTGCCGCCCGCCGTGCCCTGAGGCTGCCTCGTTGCCTTGTGGGCGGCGCGGGGCCGCAGCGTCGCTGATGGACAGACGCGCTTCCCCAGCGTGTTGTTTGCTCCTCCTCCTCCCCCCCCTCCTCTTCCTCCTCCTCCTCCTCCGGGGCTCCGATCCGTTTCAGGGCCACTGGGCGCGGCAAGCGTGGCACTTTCTCTGCACCAAATGGGGCGCGCAGGGAGTGGGTGCCTCATCCGTCTCGGGGTCGCAGGGCGTAGCAGACGTG